AAAGCGCCTTGGACATGCTCATGGATATGAGCGCTATATAAATAAACTTTATTATTATTATTATTATTATTATTATTATTATTAGAAAGCTAAAGTTAGTTCTAAATCTAAATCGTTGTAAAACCGCAAGTATGTTAGAAAACAAAATATTATAATATCATTCAGTTCTAATATAGTTTGAATCAAAGTTTCCCGTGAGAAAATAAAAGATACTCGATCGCTTTCTAGTTAAATCAGTTTTTTTTTTTCAATCCTAGGAAACTGAGAAACTTTGAATCAAAGGCCAGTGGATGTAATAAATCATATTCCACGATATATACGCCCAGATGAAACGCGTCTTCGAGGCAAATAGACGAAATAGGCTGACGAAAAAACAGTTATAGAAATTCGTATGAGGGAAATTTCCGTTAAAAATGTTTCAAAACAACTGACTAGAGTCGCCATACACTAGAAATGTTTGAATGAAAAATAAATTATTTTGAAGTCTAGTAAAAGTTTGCATACATAAATGAATCACTGACTTCGAGCAGCTGAATAAATACAATTCTAAGATAATTTCCAACGGTACTAGGGAAGTTCTAAGTTCAGTTGACCAAGCCACTTACGTCTTTGAAGCTTCGTAGGCATCGCGAAGATGTCTTGTACGATTAAAGCTGTACATATGATACTCAAAAAGACGAATAGCTTCTGGTAACGGTCCGTCATAACTATATTGTGTGTTTAGCGGTTGTAGAATCACCCGAAGATCTAATGGACAGTAGTTATGATACTTACAAAGCATAAAAGAACATCAGCTGATCACGTGACCCATCAGTATTTTACTCACCACGGGCATCATTATAAAATATTAAAACTCTTCAATAAAAAATAAAAAATTCCCAGAATTGTTTGAACTCATTGCACTCACTTCCCTCTTAATCCTAGCAGCCCTTACACCTTCATTCTGATCAAAACCAAGTTCAAAAATTTAGAGTACGACAACTCCTTTAAAGTAAGGTCGAAATTTTCAAATTGCGTTAAAGTTAACTATCTTGACTGGGTTTCCACCTCAAGCAGAATGCTAACTAAGTTGGCTCTATTTTGGTTCGGATTTGACACAAAGACCCTGGCTTATTTATCTTGGTGAAGAATTGCCGGATTATCAAAAAAAAAAGCCCATTGAGGAGGGTAAAAACACATCAACTGATAGATTGACCCTGGCCAGTTATAAATATTTCTTGAAAAGAACTCAAACCGGTATCGATGGATGAAACTAAAGGAAACAGTTACCTTAATAGATTCATAAATTAAGATAATTTTATAACATATTTTAGCTTTTTGGGACTAATCGGGAATACTTAAATCGAAATTTTGAATTTCAATTTTAAACAAAAATATTTTAATTCACACTGAGCTCGTAGTGATTTTTAAAACAATTTCCTCGAAAAATTATATTTGTATGCCTAGCTTTCAAGTAGAAAAAAAAAATTYTTGAAGTAATTTTAGTACCGACGGCCCACTCTTATTTCATTCCTTGAAGGGAGACACATGTACAGCACTTGTTTCTCCAAGATTCTCTTTAGGTATCAATGGGAGAAAGGCCGTATATAGAAGGTATTCAAAAGACTCTTCGATACGGTAAGCTATAATTAGACTGCACTAATTACCGGGTTCTAGAAAAAGAAAGAAAAAAAGTAAGCAGATTAAAACTCTCTCCTCCCGCCCTGGTATCGTAAGAACTCTGTACCACAGGGATCCCAACGACATACTTTTAACAGCAAAAACGAAAGAAAACATGCTTTTGAAAAACAAATTCCGATAAAAACTCGAATCCTAAGAAAAATAAAGAAAAATATCAATTCCTTGACGTGAGTTAGCAATACAATGGATAGTAAAAGTTATTTTTTTATGTTAAGCCGTCATACTTTCCATGTTTGGGATCCCTGTGTTTTAGATTCTCGACACGTGGTTCAATTTTGACTTTTCTTAGAGTTTTACGAATCTTATTATATCTTATTGTCTGCTTTATTCGTATGAAAACGCTTCAAGTATTCATCTCACGTTAAAATCATTAATTTAGATGCATTCAAATCAATTCCCTCAAAAGAAAAGTAAATTAAACATATCTGAGGCATATATAACGCAAAAGTAAACCTTAATTAAAAGAATTAAATGATTTACGAAAACAAAAATGAAAAAAAGTGCTATTAATTAAATGTTTGAAAATAAATAAAGTTACTGTCGCAATGAAAAGAAGTAAAAAAAAAAGCACCTCCGGTGGGACTCGAACCCACAACCTTTGAATTAGAAGTCCAACGCGCTAATCCATTGCGCCACGGAGGCAACCACAAAAGCTAAATAGCCAAATACTATATTTAACAGCAATTCAATTATCAATTGTTTTCTCGATTAAACCAATAGCATACTAGTATTGTTTACTAACAATCCAAGTTCCTTACAGGCCAAAAATATTATTGGCTCCCTGCTGTAATCAGAAAAGCTGGTTTTTGTTCGAAATAAAGCATATGGCAATTATGAAAATTTTAGGAATGGTTGATAAAGAATGAGGAACGCGCGGAGCAAGACAATACGTTATTGAATCGTTTTCCCCCCCATCTTTTCAAAAAAAACGGCAATGATCCCCAAAAATTAGTTTGTAATAGCCTACAGAAATATGATTGATGAAGTAATAATGGCAAGAATGATCCCTATTTCTAAGAAGGACGGAACTATCTCACTTATGGAGGGAGAAAAAAAACTGACTTCTTGATCGATCAAAGTTGAAACTTTATTGTTTTAGCTCATGCCTATATGATCTAAAGAACATCAAAACCAACACCAAAACTTATAAAATTTATTTAGTTTCGTTGAAAAAAATAACTTATTTAACAAAAAAAGCTATTCCAAGATTAACGCACTTGAAAAAACGTTCTCTCATTTAAGAGTTCCATGCTTTGACCAAAAAAAATCATGTGCGCGGGCTCAGACGGGAATCGAACCCGTGGCCTCTCGCACCCAAAGCGAGAATCATACCACTAGACCACTGAGCCTTCACTTGAAATAATTAAATATGAAAATATAGTTATTAGTTTAGTAAGATCGAAAAATGCTTTGACAGGTAGCAAAGAAAGACTTCAAAACGGACGGGTAACACTTTAAAGTTTAATGCTTCGAGAGGTGGCCACATCTATATGAGTGAAAACGAAGTAACACAAATGATTTAGTTCATGCATTTACGACGAACAACAATTCGGTGTCCAAAAAATAAAAAAATAAAAAAATAAAAAGATTACTCATGTAGGAACAAAACAAACCATTTGTTTCCATAGCAACCATTAGTGCCAATGAAGCGTTTTTGAGCTTAACAAATAATGAAATTGCACAATGAAACCTTGAAACATGCAATATGACGATTAAATGTATGTTTACAAAAATATGAAATTTCTATTTGAATAGATTTCATGTTTGGGACAATATCAAAATAATGAGGTATAGCACATCGACCAATCAAAGACTGAGTTATATATAGACGGAAGCCGAGCCAGTCGAGTGTTCTGGCAGTATCATCAGTTAATTACTTCAAGGGGTACCACACTGAATCAAGTTCTTGTCTGTTAGACAACTCTCTTGTCCATATCCCCCAATTACAAGGAGATACGAAAACAAAAGAGACAGCCCATATAGTCCGAGAGCGACTAAGTACCTGACAGCAAAATGACAGCATCGACAGCATCTCTTGAAAGAGTTGAATGATCAATGCTTTGAAGTATGCAAAGGGAAACAGTGGAAGTTTTATTTAGTTAAATCTACAAAGGTTGCCCATCAAGACATATATAAAGATATAAAGTTTTACAATATAAGAAAGAAAATGAAAACTACATCCAGAAAAAGAAAAAAAGAAAAAAAGGGACAAAAAGGAAATGGGATAAAATGGAAAGACAGGAAAGTATCTTTGGTTTATAAAAAACATAAAAAACATTTATTTTGTATAACCATGAACCATTGAATAGTTCCTTCCGTTTAGAGATTTAAAAAAAACTATAAATAGATAGTTAATCCCTTCTAATAAATATCAAAAGAAGGAATGAAATTGTGGTATGAATTAAAATGTTATAGGAAAATGAAAAATGTTATCACTCGACGAGGATGGGATTCGAACCCACGCGGGCAGAGCCCATTGGATTAGCAGCCCAACGCCTTAACCACTCGGCCACCTCGTCAACACGTCTCAATATTTCCGTATTTTTCGTAGACATTCAATTTTTCATATGCTCTTTGAGTATCATACAGAAAATAGGGAACATATTCATACAAATCTTTTTAGAAACCCTAATATCCAAATTTTGATGTACTTGTTCAAAGCAAACTTTGTACTTTATAAGTTTTCATTTTTTCATATAGTTCTAAACCCTGACTTAGCTTTGACGGTTTTTTATTTTAAATTAAGTACTCCGTCTCATTTATCAAAAATATATTAAACCATAAACATATTGATATTTTTCTTTTCTTTAAATCAAAAGAGATGGAAGGATTTCTCTCCAAAAGGTAATTTACATAAAAAGGACGAAGCGGATAGTTTATGAACGCCCTACTGTTGCTAAGGCACGTTATAGTGTCAGAAGTAATAACAGAAAACTGAATGTATTGAGAATCAAATGCAACGTAAATAAGATGGAAGATTAAACAGCCGGAAGGAATTCAGGTCCCGTTTTTATGACTTCTTATTAATTAATAAAAAATAATGTATACTCTTCTTCTTTCTAATTAATAAATAGATAATAAATATTCAGAGCACTCACTGAATACTATTTTAATTTCCAAATACTAACTATTTTCTTAATTCGTCTTACTACCGTTTTGTACGTAAAGCCAATTTAGAGTGATAAAACACATTGTACAGCGATCCACAAACGGCTTTAAATATCAACCAATCACGACATAAGATCAAAATCAGTGACGACAAAATTTGAGTAAAGTTTTAATGACAAATGTAAAACTAAAATGTTTGAAAAATCTTTGGCTTTCCAGTCGAAAGGACAAGTCTATTTTTCAATTACAATTTAAATATGATAMACACAGCAAAACATACAACTCCCATATTTTATTTTCATAATGGAATATAGAACACCCTACGTAAGTCATTATACACTGATTTACATTACAAATAATGTAATCGATAATCAAACGTTTTAATCGATAACGCGTCGTTTGTGAACTTCTTGGATGACAAAAATACAGCTAAATTTATTTAAAACTGGGTAGTGAGCTAATTTAGCCAATTTAGCTCAAGACCACCTGCGTGGGATCGCTTACATGGTGTAGAGCTTATAAGTATGAATAACGTCATAATCTTCACATCACTACGCATGCTCAGTTTGCTGCTAATTCCAAGCATCAGTCGAGGCATTCACTCGCTTCCCTCCCCAAGTTACAATTTAATGACAAACACAAACTGATTTACAATAGTCTTTAAATTGACATGTACATATTTTTTACGAAAAAGGGTCAAACTCATTGATACAATGACGATTGGCAGCATTTGGTTGCTCCCCCTCTTTTCGTTGAAAGTAAAACTATCATTCTAACACGCATTGTCATTGGTCGAAAATGCTCTCCAGTTTTCGTCGTGATATCAGTCTTAATGATGGTGTGCCATGTGGGATCTTTTTAGAACTGCCTCTTCAACGGAATCGCTGTTTACAGCAGTTTTGCGGTTAGGCCTTGCTGTTTTGAGTGGGAGGTAGTCATCTGCAGCAGTAGCTGCATCAATGGGAGTGTCGCCATAGACGGGGGCGCTGATATCAGCAAATGGTTTCTTAGCTGGGGCTGGGGCTACCAAAGAAAAAAGAAATGCAATGAAAAAATTGACTCAAGAAATTACAAGCCATTGAAATGCAGCGCATCTTATCATACAAATCGTTATAGCAAAACCGATTTTCCGTATGCCAATTGAATGATGGTCTCATTTTAATTTACCCCTACTGCCAAAAATGGTTCGCGAATTTTCTTAATCATTAAAATCTGTATTTCATGAGATAACAGGCCCTAAAACAGCCGACCCCTTATTAATTAAGTGCGCATGCTACCCGTTATCAGTTTTCCGTGCCACGTTGCAAAGGCAAATAGGATGTCCAAAAAAGTTCTCACCTTTAGGCAAGAGTCCGCATTGTTTGACAAGAGCAGAGATTTCATCTTTAGTCAAAGCGTAGTTATAGATTCTGAAGTCATCGATGAATCCCTTTAGAGGTCTGTTAGCCTTGTGGTCACCGATACCAGCACGTGATACCCAGTCACGTGACAGGAGACCAGAGCCAATGGTCATGTTACGGAGAACACCGTTAACGTAGATCTTGGATTTTCCGCTGGCTGAATCGTAGGTTCCAGCAACATGGGTCCATTTGTCTGCGAACAAAGAAAGAAGTCATAAGCCATCTCAGTTGTCCATAATAATTGAACTCTCGATTAAAAAAGGAGTTAATTAAACATCTTTCTAGAATAATTTATCTAATCATTCGCCATCTCTTTAAAGCCAAAATGGAAGGTCCTTGCTTTGTGATACAATCTTGTGATGTCACGAGGATGTCGTTTCTTTTTCTCATGATGATGATGATGATGAAACTATTTTTATTATATAATTGCCAATGAAATATCTATTTTTCTCTATTTCGAAAATTGATATCTTCACACGTGAAAATAACATTGCGATGGCTATTCAAAAATACACGGAAAGAATTACCTGAAAAAGCCAAAACATACTTCATTGATAATTATATAATAAACAGAATATTACATGGCTGCTTGAAGATAGGAATTTTATCTTCTCGTGTTGAAAATCTCAACACTCAAAGATAAAATTCGTATCTCCGCGTGCCCTTGTAATATCCTCTATATATTATCCAGGGTAATCCCTTCAGTGACCTTAGGGACATGGGAGCCGGTATTCATATAATACATGACTAGAAACAGTCGACTTTCAGGGGAAATAATGCCAATAATTAAATACCCCAATATTTGTGTAAATGAAACGCCATAAACTACAACCAAAGGTGTCACCACAGGTAGTCCAGATGGCTAAAAGCAGGATAAACTAACCTTGTTGAACGAGGTTGCCTTCGGCAGTATTAGAGAAGATAGTGATTTGACTCTCGTTTCTATGGAACCATCTAACCATACCATTGTTGACTTCAAAGTGGTACTGACCACACGCATGCGTGCTTCCGATAGTATCAAAAATAGAGTGGCTACCGACGACTTCTTTAAGATTAATCCAAGCAGCAACCGTTACAGCAACGTATGGCTTGCCTTGGAAGGTGTCTCCATGGAAGAGGATGTCTCCACAGTAAGTATAAGCTGCATTGCCGCATTTTCCTTGCTGGAAGTTTACAAGGATGGCACCTGCCATTAGGTAACCGTTGTTTAAATAACCTGATGAATCTCCTACGACCTCTCCGTGTGTTTTGTTGAACTCGAGCTTACATACTAGTCTCTCTAGATAAGAGAAAGAAATAAGAACGATCAAAGAAATCCTTCATCATCCGAATTTCCTTCGTCTATTGACGTTGTGAACTTATTAGCCATCCAAAGGTTGAGGGAAAAGACTGGCTCGAGTTGGCATTGCAATGCATCTCTGGCCTTATTTAGGGGATATAATTCCAAGATGGCGTCGATTTAGTCCCCTAACCTGAAACAGACCCAAGATGCACTGCAACGCCAACTCAATCACGTTTCCCCCTCAACCTCAGAATGGGTAGTAGATTTGCTCGAACTATAGTTTAGTTCTTTAGTTCTTCTTTAGTTCTTCCATTACTTACTGTCTGGAGGCAATCCCCCTGCGCCACTAGCTGGTACTGCTGAGGGGACACTTTGTCTTTTAGATGAATTTGCCTGAACTGCAACAAAAGCATAAAAGACATATTAAAAAGTTGATTAAAAAAAAATGTTATCGCTATTGACCACCGCAAGTACAACAGTGGCGCAGCTCAACGGGACTGGATGTGAAGGCGCCGGGTTTAGACATGTCTTTCCCAATCCTCCGCGACTTAATAAAACACAGGTATCTCAGACATAATAGGAAGGTCATGAAGGTATATGTAGTGTAACCGGTCACCAAGCACTAACAATCACTGAGAAGAACATTGGACTTGGTTTTCCACCTGCGGGCAAGATCGACCTCTAGGTCGTCAGTTAAACAATGGCCCAAGTTTAACCATGTGGTACCAAAGATTTGGGTTTACAAAACAATCAATATTTTCAAGACCAAAAAAATTGATTCTCGTGAAATGTGTCTATAGAGTTTGGCGCGCTTTCTTGGTGCACCATCTCTTTATCTATATTCACATTTAAAGTTGTTATTTATAAATGTAATATTCCAAAAATCCCTTTTAAATGTTGGTCAAAATTTTAACTGAAAATTGAGATGGATAGATTTAAAAGGTCTAAAAAAGCTTAAAACCACTTAAGAATTAAGAATATTCTAGCTAATCATAGAGAGCGGATGGATTTTAGGACAACGCGCCACCCGCAACACTAAAAACCAGCCACTCTATTTACTGAGAACTTTGATTCAAAATCTATTGTTCAACTTTAAGTAACAAATGAATCGATATAGTTAAACAAACTAACAGACAAAATACTTCAGTGTAAAGTAGTTACAGTTAGATAAACCGTTTACTGAGATAGAAATGAACGTCATCCAACTCTGTAGTCTAATGTTCGGCGAATCGTTTTAAAACAACCGTACGTTATCTAAATAGAGGCGTGGCGCTACTTTCAGGTCCTGCGTTTAAAAACATTGATTGTCTCGTCCCTCTCAGTGACAGGACAGACTTTACGTGATCGCTTAATCTCTCTAGTATCTCAGTAATACGTAGAATAAAAGAAATGAAGTGATACACAACGTTTGAAACTTCAATGGCAATGGGATGAAAGTTCTTTACAATCGGCAAACATATAACCACATAAATTATAAAACATCCGAAAAGGACGAAATTTTGTGACAAAAAATAAAATAAATAAATAAACGGTCAACGAAAAAGAACTGAATAAAATGATAGATTTTATTTTTACTTCACGAACAATTAGTTCTGGTGCGTTTGAGACTCATGACACCGAGTGACGAGAAATTATCGAAAAGGTTCAGTAAAAAAGAAATTTTGAAATTTTTTGTTCACAGTCCATGACGGTAATTCCCGTTTCAAGAAAGACGACTTTGTGGTGCAATTACTCATTTCAAACACGAGTAGTAGTAAACTTGAAATACTTTTTCAGCAATTTGCTTAATTTGAAGAGAAAAAAGTCACCAGTAAAATTTGAGTCATAGAACCGAGTTAAAGAATTATCACTGAAGTTGACAGTTCAATCAAAGATACAATCTTAAGCACCTTTATGAAGTACTTCCCCCCGTAACGAATTGAAAACACAAATTAGTTAAATTACATTAGTTAGCTTACCTGCAATGAAGAGTCCTAAAACCACCAACAAACTCTTCATCTTTCCTAGAAAAAATTAAGTACAGGTTGAGTGAAATTCAACGCACTAGCAGACACTAGCCAGTAATATCAAAATCGGGACCTTTTGGGAAGCTACTTTTGTCTGTTTGAATTGAATGCCCTTTTTTCTAGACTTTTTTTGGTGCCTTACGGGAGACTTCGGCAAATAAATTCCCCTCTTTAGATATTTTTGTCCAAATTTTCACTTTTGGCACTGATTTGATCGATCTAAGACAATGGGTCCATTAGATATTCTCTACTTATCTACTGCTAATTAAACTTCAAATATCGAGTGAAACCTTTCGTAACTTTTAACAGGATTTCGTTAATAACAATAAGGGGAATAAAGATGGTTTTAAAAGTAAATGGCTTACCTGTTTGTCCGAAAAACTCCCTTAAAAATTCAAGAAAGTTCGGAGTGACTTTCCTAAGTTGACAGAGAAGATTGTTGTTTCTTGATGGACGTGGTTACTCAACAAGTCTTATTTCATGGCACCACACATTCCAATCCAATGATCCATGCAACAGGGTACCCGTCACATTGTTCTCGGAGTGGCGACCCTGTTCACACGACTAAAATTTCTTCCACACACGAATAAAACAAAAAGAAAAAGAACAAATACTCGAAACGGAATTGACTGCGTTTTCGTTTGGGAAAACATCGACTAGAAGATTTCATTCCAAAAGTACTTACTTATAATCTTTTTAAACATATTCAAATGAAAATATTTTTAATGATTTTTTCGTTATCTGCAGGTCCTTCAACTGGATTAGACCAGTTGTAACGGTTCACCACTTTTGACAGTGCTTTGCTAAAATTACGCCAAAAACAAAAATCTTCGTGATCAATGGTAGAATCGAGGGAATTTATTTTCAACAATTTTGGGCGTGACCCAAAATCCAATTTTTTTTTCTTGGCTAAGAAAATTAAAATTTTATTCTGCAAATTTTTCGGAGGACAAAATTTGCAAGCATTTCTAAGTCTTGCAGCATCAAATATTCATTAGTTATGGTGATAACATTTCTTCACTTCGACACCAATACTTTCGAAGTTCAATGGTGTCATGCCCCTTTTGACAGAGGGATCCTTGACTCTAATTAACCTTGATTAAGCAAACTATGGGTGGAAAAATCGTWAAAAAAAAACTAGACAAATCCGAGAGGTAGAACGTTGTTTATCTTAATGCTGCTTCCAAGAAAATCTTAGACAAGAAATATGATTTTTTTCCACGAAAACAATTACTTTGAAAAATTTTCTTTTTTTCTTTCACTTAGTTCTAATTAATTTCTCTTTCTCTCGATGTAAGTTTTATTTCAAAATATTTTGTATTCAGGGGTAAATTAGAAAAAAAATATCTGCCTCCAAGTTAATTCTTTCACATTAACATTTCAATAAACAAAGATTTAGAACTAAAAACACGACGTTTTGGTGGGGCATTTCTAGAAGCTAGGCCAGGCAAGAAACAAGAAATAGCATTCAAGCTTTTATATTAATGCTTTCCCGTTATTATTTTGACAATTTTTTAAATCTATTCCTTTATTTAATGTTTGATACTGGATAAGTCAAGGGCTATGAATAATAATTATGGAGTACTACTTATTTAATATTGTTTTGACTTTAATAGATAATTCTCCAAGGACAGCTGAGATTGATAAAATATCAGGATATCAGGCAATAATAATAGTATAATATAGTCCAATAAATACAGCTACCCCCAACCCAAATGTCTCATGGAAGTCAAGGGCGGATCCAGCCAAAATTTTAGGGGGGGGCTAATTGAGTTTCTTCTGTCAACACAACAGAAAACAATATAAAAAAGTATCGTTTTTTTCTGCTGAAGGGGGGGCTTCAGCCCCCCTTTAACCCCCCCCCCCGGATCCACCTTTGGAAGTAGCAGGCAAGAATAGAAAACAAAAAGGTTTGAAGAGGAATTCCAAAATGGCCACCACACAGAAAATTCTGGCATGATCTGCATCACAAACTGGTTTTGATTTCATTCTACTGAGCATAAACCAGCTTCACAAGATTTCACAAACTCATGGGACCACCCATGGAACTGCCACTGATCAGGATGATGATTCCAGAAACAAAAAAGTTTGAAGAGGAATTCCAAAATGGCCACCACACAGAAAAGTCTGGCATGATCTGCATCACAAACTGGTTTTGATTTCATTCTACTGAGCATAAACCAGCTTTACAAGATTTCTCAAACTCATGGGACCACCCATGGAACTGCCACTGACTCCAGTGCATGCATGACCAAAGTAGATATATAGTTCATGTAGTGCTCAACTTCCATTGACTTCCAAAACTGTCATGAAAATAACTCTTTCTAAAAAGCATGATATGACAGAAAGAATTCTGAAATATTTTAAAATATTATTTTCTTATTCTTCATATCAGATTCCCATAGAAAGTTAATATCTAAATGAGATGTATAGTCAGTGAAGGCATTGACCCTGGAGCAGCAATGAGCCAATATTAACCATCAGTATAGATCAGATATAATATCCCAAAGCTACAATTAAACCATTCAAGAGTTGTTAATTGTGGAGAGCAGATGATTTCAGGTACAGTATAAAATTGACGATGACGTCAGGTATAGTATTAAATTAGACATTTACATAAATGAGCTAGGAATACTATTATATACCTTAGAACATAAGAACTGTCTTTGTTCATGTATGTCCATCATTTGAGACTTAAGTCAGCTGGGTGAGAAGATATGGTTCAAGACCGAGAGTTTAATTAAGTACCATGCAAGGCCCATTTTCCATCATTCAATAGTTTAATAAACTACTAACAAGGTTTTGCAAGCCACAAGCATGACTCAAACCTAGAATAAAAATAATGAATCAAAATTTTACAAACTCAGGACTATCAATCAGCTATAATAAACTAGTTATTGACGTGATTTGGGTTTATATACTACAATTTCATGTGTGGCTGGAGGGGACATTATCAGATCTTTTGTTACAAGACAATATACCATCAACACAATAGATAATGAGCCCCCTCCTGTGGGGACATTAGACTAGTTACTCAATCCTCCTAAGCCAAATTACAGTCAAGGACAATATTACAGTCAAGGAAGTGCACCCCCCTGGACTGTTCCCTACACAATTTGTGTCTCTGGTATTTGATTGGATGAAGAATAAATTCTTGTGCAATGTGATTGGTCTTGCAAATACCTTGCCATGCATGACTGCGTTTACGCTCAGCAAGCTTTTCACAGTCAGACAAAAACTACTCTACAGAGGACCACAAATAAAATACTGTGATACACACATAAGTAAAAATTATTTTTTGAGGCTATATCCCTTGATGAAAGGATTTTTGTCTGGGTCTTCCAGTTTTCTTCCCTCTGCAAAAACCTTACTTGATTTATAGTACACTCAACAAAATTACTCGACTCTGATTGGTCAAGAGGAGTACAATTATAGCGTTAATAATTGTACTCCGTAGGAGCACCGAATTAAGTAGCTATGGAAACACGGCCAAAACAATGTTAAAACAATTATTTTCTATCATTTTGTACTTAAAAAACATATAAATAAAATTTTAAAGCCATAAGAACTAATCTTTTTTATGAATTTCAGTTGCACGATGGACTGAAAATTGGCTGACAAATAGACAAAGATAAACAGCGTCGCTTCGCACTTTTTACTGAAATTTTGTTGAGTGAACTATAAACAAAAAATCGCACGATCATTTCCTATACTAATTCCAATTTACCAAGACCCCTAACCTCTGTTTCACCCCCTCCCCCACACAGCAGAAACTTTTATCCAATCAAAAAAGTAGAGCATGATAATTAATTGATCATTTACTTTTATCTCAAGATCAGGGTATTGACGGTATTCCTCCCTATACATTATCCCAATGCACTTAAATCATCACTTGTTTTAAGCATCAGTCTACAGGGACAGAGGAGCAGTTTTTCGATTGGGGGGGGGGGGGGGGG